TGTAGGCCTGCTGAGTCTCCCTCCCCCAAGGAAGCTAGTGTGCTCAGCTGTTCATACCTGTGCCAAGTTCATTTATTTTTATTAGAAAGGCAGATAAACAGAGAGAAGGAGAGACAAAGAGAAAGTTCCTCTGTTGATTGATTCACTCCCCTAGTGGCTGCAATGGCTGAAGCTGAGCCAATTTGAAGCCAGGAACCTAGAGCCTCTTCTGGGTCTCCCACATGGATGCAGGGTCCAAAAGCTTTGGGCCATCCTCTACTGCTTTCCCAGGCCACAAGCAGGGAGCTGGATGGGAAGTGGAGCATCTGGAACAGAAACTATTGCTCATATGAGATTCTGGTATGTTTAAGGTGAAGACTTTAGACACTAGGCTAGTATGCCAATCCTAAAACAATTAATTAATTAATTAATTAATCTGAAAGGTAGATTTATAGAGAGAGCATGAAAGAGGAGAGACACAGAGAAAGATCTCCCAAAATGGTTGTAATAGCTGGAGCTGGGACAGTTGAAGCTGGGAGCCTGATGCTTCTTCCTTTTCTCCCCCAGATGCTGGGGCCAATGCTGCTTTCCCAGGTCATGGGATGCCAACACTGTAGGCAGAGGCTTAACTTATTACACTATGGCACCAGTGCTGATGATTTCTTGATATAGGTATTAGTTAAAGCAAATTTCATCTGAATACTGATTTTGCTCTATGCCATATGGTTTGATATGCTATGCTATTGTCTTCATTGATTTCCAGGAATTTTTGATATTCATTTTGAGTTCTTCTATGACCCATTATTCATTCGGTAGCATGTTGTTCAGTCATCATTCATTTGCATATTTTCAGTCTCCATGTATTTGTATATTATTAATTTCCAGCTTCATTCCATGGTGGTCATAAAAGACACATAGTTTCAATTTGTTTTGAATTTTGAAGGCTTACTTTATGGCCTAGCTCATTTCCTGCTGTATAGTAAGTTCCATATGGAGTATGTTCCATATAGTGATGAAATGTTCTGTAGGTATCCATTAGGTCCCTTTAGCTTTTTTTGTTTTTAAAATATTACTTATTTTTATTATACAAAGCCTCAGAGAGGAGAGACAGAGAAAGATTTTCCATCTGCTAGTTCACTCGCCAAATAGCCACAACAGCCAGAGCTGAGCCAATTTGAAACCAGGAGCCAGGAATGTCTTTTAGATCTCCTTCATGTATGCAGGGACCCTAGGATTGGACCATCCTGCACTGCTTTCCCAGGCCATAAGCAGGGAGCTGGAATGAAAGTGGAGCAGCTAGGGCACAAATCAGTGCCCATATCAGATGCTGGTGTTTGCAAGTGGAGGAATAGCCTGTTGAGCCATGGCACTGGTCCCTGTTGGTTTTCTTTCTAGTTGATCTGTCCATTGATGAAACTCTGCTGTTGAAATCCCTCGTCACTATAATATTATTACTATATCCCCTTTTATATCTATTAACAATTATTTTAAAGATGAATTTATTTTCATTGGAAAGACAGACATACAGAGAGGAGAAGAGACAGGAAGATCTTCCATCAGCTGGTTCACTCCCCAAGTGGCCACAGTGGCGCCTAAGCCAGGAACCAGGAGCCTCTTCTGGGTCTCTTATGTGAGTGTAGAGCCCCTCTACTGCTTTACTGGGCCACAAAAACAGGGAGCTTGAAGGGAAGTGGAGCATCAGGGACATGAACTGGTGCCCATATGGAATCTTGCTGCATGCCAGGCGAGAACTTTAGCCACTAAGCTACTGTGCTGTGCCTCAAAATTATTTTAAATAACCATGTGCCCTGAATTTGGTTTTTATATATACATTTACTGTAGTCATTTCTCATTTGATTCATCCATTAATAAGTGTGTGATGACTTTCTTCATCTCTTTGAACATTTTGTGTGTGTTTGTGTGTGTGTGCTAACATCTGTTGCATGAAATTGGAATAGCTACAGTTGCTTGCTTTTCCTTTCTTTTGCTGTGGAATGTTTTCCATCTTTTCACTTTCTCTCTCTGTTGGTGAAGTGAGTTTCTTGTGGGCGGAACATAGATGGGTTTTATAATCTGGATCCTTTGCCTGGAGAGTTTCAGCCATTTGAATTCAGGGTTATTGTTGGATGGAAATGACATGTTCCTAGTATCTTTCATAAATGTTCTCATTGTTTGCTTCTGATTTACTTTGCATTCTGGGAGATTTTCTACTTTCACGTTTTTCATTATGGTGTCTTCTCCCTGCTGATTTAAGTACTTTGTGAGAGAATTGGGGAAAGCCAGTGTGCTCCATTGAATGATCTGTCTGAACCTTCCCCCACTGTGGCTGCAGTCTGAGCCTGGAGTCAGTGTGGTTGCTGAGACTCTGCACGAGGCAGTTGTGCCTTTGAGGCCGGCTATTGTGGTTTGCTACCATCTTCCCCTCTGGATGCCCTGCTTTCTCCATTCCCTGGTGTGGTGCTCTTGGTGCTGCTTCGTGATTACAGCTTCCACACCGCTCCATAGTGTGGATCACCGAGACGGAGGAACGGGGGAAATGCCATGCTGATTTTGACTAGGGAAGGTTAGCAAAGAGAAGGAGATGAAGTGTATTCCCAGGGGAGACTTGGTGACATGTATGGATTGCAAATTCTGTACAAAGTGAATGTAATGTTTCTTGTTACAGATTTTCTGTTTTCTGTTTTTATATTTCTCATTCACTCCCTTCTACACTTTTTGGTATAGTTTGTTCTTTTTCCATGAGATGTAATATAAGCTTGAAATGTTAACAATTTCTTGATATAGGCATTTAGTGCCTTATTAGCACTGCTGTTTTGCTGTGTGCCATACAAACTCTTGGTATGTTGTGTTTCCATTTTTATTTCTCTCCATTTTGTTTCTTTTCTTTTTAATCTTTTTGGTTGATCGATTGATTCTTCAGCAGTGTTGTTTAATTTCCATGTACAGGAAATTAAAGGAAATTACAGGATTCCTCCTGCTTCTGATTTTTAGTTTTATTCTATTGTGTTAGAAAAAGTATTTCATATTTCACTTTTTAAAATTTGTTGACATGTGTTTTGTGGTCCAGCATACAGTCTGTCATGAAGAAGCTCTGATGTGCTATTTAGAAAAATGTTTCTTCTCCTCCTCTTCATCTTTTGATTCTCCTGCGAGACAGTGCCAGAAAAGGTTTATTGCACATGCGCTACCTTAGGCCACAGACGGGGGGATGGAGTCAGTCCAAATGTCACGTGCCTAAGGCACCCGAGACAGGGGCCACCGGGTGGTTCTGGGGACGATGAGGCAGGTTTTTGGGGGTGGGGAGTCTTAGTGATCGGCTGGCAGTGAACTCAGACCGTCTGGGGCAGGCAGTGGAAGGCGGCTAGCGCCCAGCGCCCATCCCGAGTGCCCTCTCCTGGGTCCCCTCCTCTCTCGGCCTTCTACTTGGACCTCTGTCACATTTTCTTTCGTCTCTCTTTGGTCTGGGCATCTGCCTCTTGCTCCACTTAGCTCTCCTGGCCTGGAAGTATTCACAAAGGTGGTTCTAAAGCCGAGAGATTCTTCAGTAGCTACATGGGGTGCTGTTGTAAATATGTTAGATACGCTTATTCTAGAATGCTATTTAATCCAGACGTTTATTAGCTGATTGTGTGTCTGGGGTGCAAGTCTGCCACTACTATTGGATTGCTTTCTCTCTTCACATTTTGTACTATTTGTATGTGTATTTGCTTCATTTTAAGTGCTACAGTGTTGGGCATTTAGTTATTCTAATTTTTATTTTCTGGTTGTATTGATTCTTTTTTGTTATACAGTGCCATTTGTTTATTCCCTATTACAGTTCTTGAGTACAAGACTACTTTGTTTGATATAAGCATAGCTTCTGCCAGACCTGTACAAGTATCCTAAATAGTTAAATGATCGCTACCCTTTCCTAATATCTTGATAAAAATGCGGAATGGCGGGCCTGACTTCAAAGTCATTATAAAATGTAAAGGGTTTATCTTAGAAGCCCGGAATCTGCATGATTTAATAGATTTTCAAAATTGAATACAGAATATTTGCGATTCAAATATCTGCTTCTTACGAATTTCATTTCTGCATACATTTTGTCAGAATCTTCATTGAGACAACATTGGAAAGGGCTGCAATCATTGGTTAATATGCACATGAGTCTCTGTAGTATTTCTATGGTGAGTAAGTCCAAGTATAGGCCTTCACACTAGACCAAGTTTTAACAAAAATTATTTATTAGAGAGAAAGAGAATGCATGAGTGAACAAGAAAGTGTTACCTTCAACAGAATGATTCACTCTCCAAAGGGCTGCAACAGCTAGGGCTGGGTCCAGGCTGAAACGAGGAGCTAGGAGCTCATGCCATGTTTCCTCTAGGGGCTCCAGTACTTTAAGCATCTGCTTTTTTCTCGGAGGTCTGATCAGATGTGAGGTAGCTGAACTGGAATTGGCACTTCTTCCTGGGATGCTGGGCTTGCACACGGTGGCATAGTTTGCTGTGCCACAATGCTGGCCCCTAATCTACAGGAAAGTTTCACTCCGTTTTCCCATATTTTTCTCCCATATTATGTTCTCTGATATCCACTTGCATTCTCAAGTAAATTGTTTTTGTCTTGCGTTAATTCCTTCTGTTATTTTACTAAGGGTGATTTCCAGTTGTGCTTAGAAGTGTTGTTAGATCAGTAGTGTGCAGATGAGTCCAATGATAAACTAACAGGGTGATATTGATAAAAAGCAGATTCAAAGAAGCCAGTTTCAGATGGATCATGACATAAAAGTGCCACAAGCTATATCCCACAAGAGAAGTGATCTGCTTCAGTCTCAAGGGATTGGATTCAGGATCACTCAGGAACTGGGTATCTGGCCAAAAAGAGGAGTTATAACTAAAAGTTTTATGTATTAGATACCTTGTGCTTGTCACACTTAATGTGTGCACCATGCACAACAGACACAGGAGCATCACTTTGATCGAAGAAGAAGGTTTCGATGCACCAGTCATTTGCCAAATGTGTATATTTTACACTTTTTTTGGTTATGATTTCAGAGACTTTTCCTTTAATGTTCCTTCTGTTGAAATATAGTCATTAATATCATCAGCAGGTGCAACATTCAATAGTAATTGTAAAAAACAAGTGATGTTGTTAAAATATGTACAGTCCAAATTAAAGTGACCAAATGGCAAATAAAACACAAGTCCGCTGAGGATGAAAAGAAGAACATAAATATGGCTCATAGTGGCAGACTTGATTATTGGAGTCAATACTAAGAACAAGGACATGGCTAAGGTTCCAAACACAAGAGGCAGACGCACCTAAAAACAAAAGCAAACCAGAATTAGAAAAGAATTGAAGACTATAAAAGCAATATAATAAAACATTACCAATATTTACTAATATTATAAAATACTTCTAGTTAGCTAAAGGATAAAGAAAAATTAAGTAGTTCTTTAGTATCTACTGGGAAACTTAATAGGGACTAAAAGAGCAGATTTGAACTTTTACTTTACAGTTTTATCTGCTTTGCTGAACTAGCTTTTTCATCAGTCCATGCCATTTGTTCAGTAAAATTTTTTTGGATTAATACATTCTGAAACGCTTAGTGTTATTAGAACAAAGGATTTTTGAGCCATATACTTATTTTTATATTTTTCTATCTTCCTGTCCTTTAACTTATTCTTATATCTTTGCATGATTCTTGTTTGGAGCACGTTTTGATAGCAAATGTTCTTAGAATTTGACACATTTTCTGTAACCCATTTAAGTCCTTTAAAATGGGACTTAATTTTGCATGCCTTTCAAAGTATTTTGGACAATTAAAATATAAGTGTGTACACTGAAGGGCAAAGGCATTTACAGCTGTACACAGTTGAGCTGAGAAGCCTGAGAAATAGTTGGCAAACTCAATTCCTTTAAAGGGGATTTAAGCTACCATCTTAAAAAGGCACTCAAATATTCGCTGATCCTGGCCTTGGTTCAACTCTTTCGCTGAGATGTAGGGCAGACATTATGCACCACATTGAGTCTCTTCATGACTCAGACTTCAGTAGTTGTATTTTGAGTACTGCAATAGATCTAAATTCTGCCTTGTTTAACAAGGAGGAATTTTGCACACAATCTATCCTGAATTTCAATTAGAAAATTAAGAAGTTTGTGGACCAATAAACAAAAAAATCCATACTCTGGACTAAAGGTTCCTAAAAAGGGGTTCACAAAGATGTTTACTTGTCGATAGTGGAAGATATACTATAAGTTAACAGAGGCACTTAATTTAAATAGATGAATAAAATATATTTTTTTTCTTGTGATTTAATTTACCTTGTAAGGCCTGGGCAGGTTGGGCTCCTGGTATCTTAGTTTAAGTAAACCTATCATCATTAGTCCTAGTTCAATCCAGTTGGTGAATCCTATATAGTTTATTAAGAGAATTAAATCTGAGGGAATCACTAGGATGGAGGCAAAGATGAGCCTGAGAATCACAGCCACAACTGGGCAGGAATAGATATTGAGAGTTGAGAGAATGAACGGGAGCTGACGCTCTTGGCTCGCAACATATAACACTCGTGCTGAGGAGAACAGAGTACAATTAAGGGAGCTAAAGATGGAGGAAGAAACACCAAGAGAAATGACCCATTGCATGGAAGGAATTATTCTGTTCATCCACGTGACTGCAACAGCATCTACAAAAGCAAAACCAGAAAAGCCACTGGTTATATGACTGGTGTGACATTCGTGACATACAAAACTTTCAAAAGAATAATTAGCAAAGACAAACATCAGAAGAGTTTTTATCAAAATAAGCTGCCTTTTATCAAAACAAGCAAGTTTATTTTCACTCTTGCTTTTTCAAATCTGTGTATTAGATTTGTCGAATGGGTTTTTATGACCTCATAGGCTCATAAAATGATTTTTGTCTTTAATGTATTAATATGACATAAAACCTTGGATTTCTTTTTTTTTTTTTAAAGATTTATTTATTTATTTATTGGAAAGTCAGATATACAGAGGAAGATCTTCCATCCGATGATTCACTCCCCATGTGAGTGCAACGGCCGATGCTATGCCGATCTGAAGTCAGGATCCAAGAACTTTTTCCGGGTATCCCACATGCGGGTGCAGGGTCCCAAGGTTTTGGGCTATCCTCAACTGCTTTCCCAGGCCAGAAGCAGGGAGCTGGATGGGAAGTGGAGCCACTGGGATCAGAACCGGCGCCCATATGGGATCCCGGGGTGTTCAAGGCAAGGACTTTAGCCGCTAGGCCACGCCGCCGGGCCCAAAACCTTGGTTTTTCAAATATTAAACTAACCTTGATTTCTGGAATAAATCTCACTTGGTCATGATAGATAACTTTCTTATTTGTTACCAGATATGGTTTACTAAGGTTTTCAATAATTTTTGCATTGTTGTTCGGGAAATTTGTGCAATTTTCTTTCCTTGTGAAAATAATAATAATTCTGATTTGGACACCAGGATTATATTGTTCCAATAAAGTGAGTTATAAAATATTCATTTTGCACTTGCAGAGTTTGTATGGCACAGATTGTCTTTGTACTAAGCTGTGTATCAGAGGTATTGTACTATGAACAGTCATGGGCAATACCATGTAAGTGTCTCCATCTGAAATAAGGGAAAAGTTGTATATTGTGTTATCTAATCAAGTTAGTATCTCCCACCAGAGAAAAGGGCAGGAAGCCATTCTGTCCACTATAAAAAATCCCAGTTGCCTAGGCTTGAACTTCCTCTACTGTCATTTGTGATTGCTACCTGGTTTTCATTGCTTTATTCTGTGGGATTGAGATTTAGGGAATCAATGGGAAAATAACTAATGCAATTCTGGTAAATTCATCATCAGCATTTATTTACCTTTGCACCAGCAGCATGTGACTTGCAATTAGGGGCAAATCTCACACATTTCAAAGTTACTGAGAACCTTGCGTGAACTCCTTGATCCTTCGGCATTTGAGATGTGATTTAATTGTGAATATGAGTGATTTCCTCAAGTTCCCACAGGCTGCTGAATTCTCATTTGACTTCAACATGATTAAAGAACATACATGCTAAAATTTCAATCTTCAGGTTTTTTTTAAAGATTTATTTACTTTGGCCTAGTGGTTAAAGTCCTCACCTTGCACTCGCTGGGACCCCATATGGGTGCTGGTTCTAGTCCTGGCAGCCCCGTTTCCCATCCATCTCCCTGCTTGTGGCCTGGGAAAACAGTTGAGGATGCCCAAAGCCTTGGGACCCTGCACCCGTGTGGGAGACCTAGAGGGGATTCCGGGCTCTTGACTTCAGATTGGTGCATTTCTGGTCATTGTGGACACCAGGGACTGAATCATTGATTGGAAAATCTTCCTTTCTGTCTCTCCTCCTTTCTGTCTATCTTCTTTCCCATAAAAATAAAAAGAAAATATTTGCCTTTATTGGAAAGGCAGATATACTGAAAGGAGGAGAGTGACCGCAATGGTTGGAGCTGAGCCAGTCTGAAGCCAGGAACCTGGAGCTTTTTCCTGGTCTTCTATACAGGTACAGTGTCTCAAGGCTTTGGGCCGTCCTCGGCTGCTTTCCCAGGCTACAAGCAGGGAGTTAGGTGGGAAGCTGGGCCACCAGAATAAGATCTGGCACCTATATGAGATCCCGGCTAGTGCAAGGTGAGGACTTAAACATTAGGCTATTGCACCAGACTGTAAACAAATAATTTTAATATGATACTTAAATTCTTTTGTTGATTCTTATCTTGATCAATTTTTTTTCTTAGTGGTTGTTTTGATGTTATACAATATGTACCACTAAATTTATCAAAATTCATTCCAAGTTAATTTGGGGGGGGGGCAGTGTTGTGGTACTGTGGATGAATATGTTTGCAATGGCAGCATCCTGTATGGATGTTAGTAGTATCTAGGTTGCTCTACTTCCAATTCAGCTTCCTGGTAATGACCTGGGAAAGGCAGCAGAGGACATATAAGTACTTGAGCTTCTGTTAGTTTTGTGAAATTTCTGGAAGAAGCTCCTGGGTCCTGGCTTCTGGCTGTCCCAGCCCTGGCTGTCTCAGCCATCTGGGTAGTGAACCAATGGGTGTAGAAGGCCTCCCTGTTCCTTTCTGTAACTCTGAATTTCAAAGAAATCATTTTGTTTTAAATTAGTTCGTTCTTATGTCTAGTAAAATGCAGCAACTTTTTTCCAATATAGGTAATTTCTTTCTCTTTCCTTTATGCTATTTTTGCATATATGTTACATCTCAATAGTTTTAAAAGACTGCACATCTTTTTTTTAGAATTATTGCCTTACCCACTTTCCTTTACACCTTAATCAAATATGTAAGAATTATCAGATAATTTATATAATTAAAAAACTAATTCTTTTTTTTTAAAGATTTATTTTATTTTTATTGGAAAGGCAGACATACAGAGAGGAGAGACAGAGAGGAAGATCTTCCATCCGATGATCCACTCCCTAAGTGAGCACAACAGCCAATGCTATGCCGATCCGAAGCCAGGAGCCTCTTCCGGGTCTCCCACACGGGTGCAGGGTCCCAAGGCTTTGAGCTGTCCTCTACTGCTTTCCCGGGCCACAAGCAGGGAGCTGGATGGGAAGCGGGATGCCGGGATTAGAATCGGCGCCCATATGGGATCCCAGGGCGTGCAAAGCAAGGACCTTAACCACTTGTGCCACCGCGCCGGGCCCAAAAAACTAATTCTTATCTTAAATAATTTAGACATTTTACAAAATTAAATGTAGAAAAGAGAAATGTATACAGAAATATACTGAGACTTACCTACATTTGCTGGCATTCACCAAAAAAATTCATGGAAAATGAAATTAAAAGATAAATTCATTTTGGTGCAAATTTTTTTGTAATACAAATTTTTCGTGATTTGCGTTTTTCATGAACTTTTCCAAGATTCCTTGTGTGCACAGATTTCTAAAATTTTCTGCACCAAGTAAGTTTATATTTTAACTTCATGTTGCGTGAACTTTCTCAAATACTCTCATATCTACTGTTTGTGTTACTCTCTGGTGATCCAAGTTACTTTTTGTCAGCCTGAAGCATTTTCTTTAGTACTTTTTTTTAGTAGCGCAGATCTTCTAGCAGTGAATTCTCTCAAATTTTGTTAATATGATAATATTTTTATTTTATATATTCATTTTGAAGGATATTTTTACTGTATTATTGTCTTGGTTGACATTTTCGTTTCAGCATTTTACTATTCAACTACATTTTGCTCTCTTTTTTTCCTTTTAAAATAAACTTATTGCTTTCCTGTATGTAACAAAATGATTTCTCTTTGCCTTTGCTTTGGGTTTTATTAAAGTTTGGCTTTGATATATATGTTTGCTGTTCTTTATGTTGTTGTGTCACAGATCCATTTTGTTTTGGATTTACTTATAATTTTTAATGAATTCTCAGACTTTCTCAGTGATTATTTTTTATATATTTTCTTGTAGTTCCTTTTCCATTTTCTTTTCTGTTTCCCCCCTTCCCACCCTTGCTCCTCCATCCCTTCCTCTTTCTCTCCTTGTTTCTCTCATTTTCTTTCTTTCTTTCTTTCTTTCTTTCTTTCTTTCTTTCTTTCTTTCTTTCTTTCTTTCTTTCTTTCTTTCTCTCTTTCTTTTCTTTTCTTTCCTTTTTTTTCTCTCTCTCTCTCCCTCTTTCTGTTTCTTTCTTTCTACTCAAAAATCCATTTTACCTATTGTCAAAGCCACTGTTGTATTTATAGTTTAACTGTGAAATTAAGATCTTAATTCTTTACTTAGAAACTTATTCAGCTATTTATCTGAACAGGAAGATAGGAAGGGAACAAGTGAAGAGAGAGAGGTTTTTCATTTGTTGGTTCAGCCCTCAGATACCTGTTCTGGCTGAAGCAGTGCTGGACCACAGTCAGAACCCACAAGCTCCATTTGGATCCCCATGGGAGTGGTAGGAACCCAGGTAGTTTCTAGCATCAGCTGCCTCCTTTGAACATCATACATTATAAACGAGCTGTGTGTTCAGTGAAAGAAAAAGTTAAGCACTTGAACTCCCCACTCCTATAGATTTGCAGGATGCTCCTATAGAAAAAGCATAAATGTTCCATTTCCTGTGGTCAGATGTTAACCAAGAGCACTCACAATATTCTTTAAGGTATATGTTTCCAGGTTATTTGACTAGTTTCCTCATATTTTATTTAAATTAAATTAATTTATTCTACTTTTTCCATTTTCCAATTATATTATCCATATTCCTGTTGCTTGGTTTTAATGTTCAGTACATGCTGAAAACCATAGATTGCATAGGTCTTTTAAAACGCTAAGTATGGCCTGCCATATTAGCTTAACTGACTAATCCTCCACCTCTGAGTGAGGCATCCAATATGGGCAGTGTTTGTGTCCTTGCTGCTTCACTTCTGATCCAGCTCCCTGCTTGTGACAGTGGATCACCCAATGCCTGGGAATCCTGCACCTCCGGGAGACCCAGAAGAAGCTCCTGGCTCCTAATTTCAGACTGACTCAGCTCTGGGATGTTGCAGCCAGGTGGGGAGTGAGCCAGTGGATGAAAAATCTTGCTGTCTCTCCTCTCACTGCATATCTGCCTTTCCAACAAAATATATAAGTAAGCCTTAAAAAGATGTTAGCACTAAAGAAGTGAATAACCGTGACAGGAACCATTTTAGCACAAACTTCCTAAAGCAAAATAGAAAGAGCTATTGTGTTGGAGACCCCCTTTTTGTGGGGGGGGGGGTGAGAGGAAAGAGCGGATCTTCCCTCTTGCTGTAGCCATACCTGAAGACATGATTTCCTTTGGAGTCAAGACTGTTAGGTAGGAAATGTTAACCAACAAGTAGATCACTGCCACAAGTGTCAGTGCGGTCATCACACATCTGGAAATATTTACACTAGGGTTTTTAAGTTCTCCTAAGAAAAAAGAAAGAAGTTACTTCCCTGTCTTATTGCCTTTGAAAATGATTTCACTATGACATGCAATAAAAACAAAATAAATAAGAAAAAAAATAAGAGCTCATTTGATCTTCTTCTTTTTTTTTCATGGAATGTTTACTATGGTCCTGCTAATTGCTGGTTTAGTATATTAGGATTGTGTTAAATTCTGGAATCTCAATTCTGTATTCCTAATGCTCAACACGAGCTTCTCATCAAGAAAAGATTTATATATGAGTAATCTTGAATACGAGACAGGAATCGGAGCTAACCTCCGCTTTTCTTTCTTCTTTTTTTAAAGATTTATTTTATTGTTATTGCAAGGTCAGACATACAGAGAGGAGGAGAGATAGAGATAAAGCTTTTCCATCTGTTGATTCACTCCCCAATGGCAGGTGCTTCACCTGCTGTTCTCAACTGCTTTCCCAGGCCACAAGCAGGGAGGGAGCTGGAAGGGAAGTGGGGCTGCCAGGATTAGAACCTGTGCTCATATGGGACGGTGGCCCTTTAAAGGCGAGAACCTTAGCCTCTAGGCCACAGTGCTGGGCCCTTAAGCTCCACTTTCCTAACAGCGAAACAGCTGAGATGATAATTTGATCGCAATACTTACCACATTAGAGTGAACGTCCCTGCTTGTTTTACTACCTGGATTAAATCTGACTAAGTAAATCTTGGGTCAGACTTGAGTGTATATTTTCAACCTCAAAGCTGACACAAGTGTTTAAGTATTTGAAAAACAAAGGATTATATTAACATTCAATAGTACTCCATCAGAATAATCTACATGCATTTAAGAGTAATTTGTAAAATGGCCATAATACATTAGAAAAATGTATGTATATGTACTTATCTAAACCTTGAGATGTAAAAAGTTTTGAATACAAAAACAAAGAAACAAGGAAAGGAGTGATAGCTTGCGTACTATCAGCGTTAAGATCACAGTCTTAAAATTTTTCTGAACAAAATTAAAAAGCAAAGCACAAACTGGAAATTATTGTCTGCCTACAAAGAAGAAATAGAAATGAATATTTGCAAAACTCTTCTTTGTCTTGGTCAATGAATAATAAGTGGGTTGTAGCATTGAGATTTTTATTTCCACAAACTCAAGTAGAAAAAGAATGAGAAGCATATGATAGTTTCAAATGGAGTCATTTCAATTCACAATAACAAGTATATTTGTAGAGCCTTTCTGGAGGGCATTTTGATGATATTTCTCCAGGTTTTTCTTAATATTTGTAATTGTCATTTGATAACTTTCAACTTTTTATAATAAAGCAGTGAAAGATAAAGCAAGGATTGATATAGAAGAATGACTGCAGAAGTAAGTATGAAATTGAAAGGAAAATCTGGAAAGAACTCTAGGATGCACTAATGGGAAAATGAGAAAATAATGATAAAATATTAATGCGATAGAATACTGTGCTTTCTTTAAATCTATTGATATTCTGTAACAGGTGAAATTGCTACTTGATATCTAAAGGGAATAAGTTATAAGATTTTGTGTGTAATATAATTTCCACATGTGTGTAGTACATGCAAGATGACTGACTATAGATGATGTTTTTTGTATTTAACATGTTTCCTCCGATGAGAGTCTATTATTATAATTAAGAAATACAAACTCTTAAAATATTTGTTTCATGAAAAGAATTTCAGTTGCCAGTCATTATGTTGCTAAAGTTTTATGTGCACTTTTTTCAATACATAGAAAATACACCATCCTTTGTTTTTTCCAGTCATAAAACCCCAGGTGTAGAGTGCCTGTAGTAACATTAACAGAGAAACACATGAAGCTAAAACAGTACAGTTTTCTTTCTTAGAATAAGGTGCTGATTGCTATGCATATATAGCTTAACCGTGCTTTTAAGTGAAAAAAAAAAAAGTCACTTTACCTGCTATTCCAACAAGAATCCCCCAGCCTGAATATGCATATAATCCTTGGAGGAAGGCTTCTGCGATCTGCGAAGCATCTGGAACGTCAGCATCAAAAGCATTCTCAAACCTAGCTAAGTTTTCTTTTCTTCCTCTTACTAACAGCACAACTCCAGTTACAGATACAAAGCAGAGAACTGTCATTTTTACTAGTGTAGTGACAGTCTGAAACCAGGCCACCTCTTTCACTCCTCGAGCATTCAGAATTCCCAAACACCATAAAATGGCCAACGCTAAACATTTCTTTGGCATCTCAGGAACCAAGCAACCAGAAAAGAATGGCTGTAAAATATACCCTGCTAGCAACAAGCCCCGTGCAGCCAGGCTTGCGGGGGTACTAAATAGACTAATCCAGAGATAGAAGAAACCAATGATGGATCCAAGAGATCTTTTAAGGAAATAATACTGTGCACCACTTCGAGGGAAGGTTGTGCCCAGCTCTGCATAACTTAGAGCAGCTATCATGGACACAATGGCACAGGCAGCCCAAATAATTAGAGAGATCCCCACATTAAGTGAAGTAAATTTTAGCACCCCTTTAGGAGCAATAAATATCCCAGCTCCTATTATGATGCTGAATAAAAAAATTGTTCCATGGAAATATCCTATTACTCGTTGAAGCTGAGCACTTTCCCCCTTCTTCATTTTTGTAAACCCAAATCTTAATTCTCAAAGCTTTTAGTTTTCCTTCAGTTCTATGCTTCTGAGATGCTTGCTGAAATCTCCTTGTGGTTGTGTGTTTTGCTTTTTTTTTTCCTCTCTCTTGAATAATGTTTTGTTACAACCCCTAACATTAAAAAAAAATTAACTTGTCAGTTAATTATGCTGAACTTCTTGACATTTAATATTAGCTAAAGCGTTTTCTATGTTAGGCATTTTAACAGTTACGGTCAATTAAACAAGTTAGATACAGCTAATTGAAAGTGAGCTAATTGAAAATTCTGTCAGGTTGCTTCTGTGGATGGTAATTTCATTACTTTTGACCCTTCATGGAGTTATTTCATTAAGACTGTACCATGAGGAAGTTTGCTTGTAAAGAACGACAAAAAAAAAAAAAAAGAGCTAGGTTTGAATCACATGTTAGCAAACCTTTAAACACATATCTGACATAAGCAACTGTATGTCACCAATTTCCCATCATTTAAAAAAAGTGGATCTAATAGTTCCTTTTGCGAACTAGAATGTATGAGGTAGTTTATGTCTAAAATAAATATTAATTAAAAGCTCCTGCTACTATTCCTTATAATATACACAAAGTCCTCCTAAATGCAAGTTTTTTGTTGTTGTTTATTCTCATTATTACTGTTTATAGTGTGTGAGTCTTCAGCTTCTAAAAGTATTTTCAAAATACTTGGCGGGGGGAATGTGAAGCCTTGGTTAAACTGCAGGTTGGACTGGAATGGCTGGTCCAAGGTCCAGTTGCCCTGCCTCCAGCAGGGTGTGCCCTGGAAGGCAGCAGATGCTGGCTCATTGACTTGGGTTCCAGTCAGCCATGTGGAGTGCTCAGATTGAGTTCTGGGGTCCTGATCACAGCCTGGTCCTTTCTTGGCTGTTGTGAACTTCCGGGAAGTGAATCAATAGCTCATCTGTCTCTTCCTGTATGTCTGGCTCTCAAATAAAATTAAAATTTAAAAACTGACTTTGCAGTTAGTTGCAAAAGGATATTTTCAGCAAGTGCATAACTTAGGACACATATCTATGGCTTTATACTTCCCTTGTCAATATTCTTTCTGAAAATATAAAAGTATTTGTTTACTTTAAAATATTTATTTTATATATTTGAAAGGCAGGGTGAGAGAGAGGAAGAGAGAGAAATATTGCATTTGTTTGCTTACTCCTCAGATGACCACAATATCTAGGGGTAAGCCAGTCTATAATCAGGAGCTTCTTTTTGATTTTTATCTTAATTTTTTGATTTTATGGTACAATTCTGTAGATTCTGGAATTACCCCATTCCCATCCCGGATTGATTTCCCCCATATTGTTATAATAGTGTAGTCCGTCATAAGGAAGCCATCTGGCTTCTGGATTTCCCATGTGGATGCAGGGTCCCAAGCCCTTGGATCATCTCCTATTCCTTTCCCAAGCATACTAGAAAGGAGTTGGATCAGAAAGGACTCAAACCATTGCCCAAATGGGATCCTGGCATCACAGCAGAGAGAGAGAGAGAGAGAAAGAGAATGAGAGAGAGTGAGCAAATGAGTGAGAGGGAGTGAGAGCGTGAGCCTGCCCCTCATGGTTGCCAGCATATTCTGTGAGATAGGAAAAGGGTACATGGTGATGGTTAGGTCCTCTGTGCCCTGGGGAAAGGAGCTACATCCTGGGAAAGGGCTTATTTGGCTGACAGGCAGGTGCATAGTGTTGCATAGAGTGAGCAGCTGTGGCTTCCAGCTCCTGGTTCTAGCTCAGCTACCTGCTTTATCACGTATCAGTTGGACTGGCGACTGTAGTGGTGTTGGGAGATAGGCCGTGAGCATCAGCAGAAGGGCTATGGAATCATGGGTTAAAATGAGCAGTGGAAGACACTGAGGTGAATGGCGGGTGTCACACTGGAAGAACAATGAACCCAGCATCCAGGGAGGATCTGTGCTGCATCCTCCAACCTGCACCTGTGACTTAGAGGAAATTGTGCTGATTCTCAATCTAACTATGGTTGTGATGCTGGGCACAATGAATGGGGATTCCATATGGTTTCATCTAGAAGACAGAGTTTTCTTTAAATCAATGACTCAAAGTGTGTCTAGTGTGGCAGATGCTACACTGGCTGGAGCTGTGCTAATCTGATGCCAGGAGCCATGAGCTTCTTCCAGCTATCCCACGTAGGTGTAGGGTCCCAAGACTTTGGGCTGTCTTCACCTGTTTTCCCAGGCCAGAAACAGGGAGCTGGATGGGAAGTGGAACTGCTGGGATTAGAGCTGGTACGCATATGGGATCTCAGCATGGGCAAGGTGAGGACTTTATATACTAGGCTACTGTGCTCGGCCCAATACACACAGAACTTTCAAGAAGCTATTGAATATACACTCCAATATTCCAATGTCAAAATTTTAGAGTAGTAAAGAACATCTGAAATGGAAAATGTGCAGGAATTACAGCTAAACCATCAGAACATCAAAAGAAAACAAAATATTCAATAAAGAATTCAGAGTACCACAGATGACAAAGATGCTAATAAACATATAAGCCGATCTTGAAGTTCTTTTAATAAAAAGTAAAATCCATTGTTTACGCTGAAGTTGACAAGAATATTGAAGATTTATTACTTAGGGCCCAGGGCTGTAGCCTAGCGGCTAAAGTCTTCACCTCACACTCGCCAGGATCCCATATGGGCACTGGATCTAATCCTGGCAGCCCTGCTTCCCATCGAGCTCCCTGCTTGTGGCCTGGGAAAGCAGTAGAGGATGGGCCAAAGCTTTGTGACCCCGCACCCATTTGGGAGACCTGGAAGAAACTCCTGGCTCTTGGCTTTCTATCGGTTCAGCTCTGGTCATTGCTCTCACTTGGGGAGAGAATCATCGAATGGAAGATCTTCCTGTCTTTCCTCTCTGTACAACTGATTTTGCAATTAAAAATAAAAATATACACATTACTTAACAGTAGCATGGATGCATTTTTAATCTTTACAGCAATCACAAAAGCCAGTGTACAATGTACTATGTGATTTTTATAAAGATGTGATTATTGGAAATGCAAAGTTAGAGAAAGAGTGATAGATTAGAAACACAGGTCCTTTCTCCTGTGGTTCACTCCCCAGGTGTTCACAAGTGTCAGACCAGTGCCAGATCCATCTGAAGCCCGAATCCAGGAGCTTCTTCTGGGTCTGCCATACGGGTGCAGGGGCCCAAGCCCTTTGGCCATCTTCCACTGCTTTGTCAGGCACATTATCAGGGAGCTGGATGCAAAATGGAGCAGCCAAGTCTGGGAGCAGCGTGCCCATGTGGGGTGCCAGTGCCATAGCTGGCAGCTTTACACACCATACCACAGCACTGGCCCCCAATAAATGACATGCTAAATACAGGCAGAGATAAATACATTCACCCAGATTGGACCGTTACACACATGTACTGAAACAATATCTAATATCCCACCAATAGGTTCCATTTATACACATACATAGTGGAAATTTAACAAATATTAAGGAGTGATTTCTGAAAAGTAAATAAAGTGAAAGTGAATGAAAAGAGAAATAAGACAAGAGGAGACAACACAGGCTTAGCAGTACAAAAAGTCATGTGAAGAAAAAATCAGAAAGAAACAGCAAACGGTATAAGTAAAAACAGTATCAGTCCATTAAGTGTCAAGGGATTAACCATTTCAATGGCAAATAATGACTGACTGCATTTTAAAAATCTGCACTCCCTTCGATTTTTAACATGACGCATGTTTTATGTACTCCAAACACCTACAAGAAACACAAAAATGTGATCGTGTTTCCATTCACCCTAATGAGTCCCTATGGCTTCGCCCGTATAGATTCAACTATCTTGTTTTTTTCAGTACTGTAAGGAGAATTGTTGCCTTGATATTGGTGTTGCTCAGACTAATTTCAGAATTGTGCTGAGGCTACTACTGTGTTTAGGAACCAGGATAATGGATTCTTCTCTTGAAAAGAACATCTGCCAGTAACCACGATGTGACTACAGACCTGGAAGCCAACCTCACTCAGGAGCAGCTCACCAGCCGGGGGGGGGGTCTCCACTCTGCCAGGCGACAGGCCGTGGCCAGTGTGCTGGGGATGTATCTCAGGGGAAGTCGTGTCACGGAGTACCATGCTTCTCTCAGGCATAACAAATCCCACTCCTGTTACAAAAACTCAGGGACGAAGTTGGAACTATTCTGTAGACAGTCAACAAACGAGTGTCGCTCTAAGTGCAGAGCCTGTGTAGATCCTGTGCTGCTAAACCTGATAAGATCTGAGTGAAAGAAACGACTGGGCATCTTAGGCTTTTCTCCCATTAACACATTCCAGGATTCCCAAGTTTCTTGTCATTAAAAGCCTCAATGCCATAAATAAATAAATAAATAAATAAATAAGCTTAACGACAAGTTACTACTGTTGCAAAGTAGTGAAAGTGGAACAGCACTGATATCAAACATCTATTGAAGCAAACACCTTTCAAAGGTCATCTCCTGTGCTCAGTATGTGTACATACTTTTACTTTGTATCACTAGCATATGTTGGTCTGCATATTGAACATATTAATACTGGAAAGCAGACTTTTAAAATTAAAATACATTGCCACAATCTACTTAAGAAGATACACACAGATGTGTGCGTTCATCAAGGAGAGAAGCAAGTGTATGTGTGCACTCTCAGATTATGATTTTTATCTTACGTCCATTGGGAAGCAAAGATCACAGGTGCTTGCAGGATGTGTTTTGGGATGGACTGTGTCAGGCCAGGAAAGGTGGAGAGAGTGAAATGGTCACGTCATCCACTCTGCGTTCAGAAGAGAGGGGTCGCTCCCATCCCCACACCATGCCAGTTTTCCTAGGATCTTGTGGAAGAAAGTGGGCTTCATGGAACTGCCCAGGTCCCCATGAGGTGAAGTATGTCCTCTAGGAAGGGTTACATGTTAGAAAGGCAGGTGGAGCTTATCAGGAGCAGGGGAACATGGCATCCAGCTTGACCCTGAGCTAGCTAC